GCTTATATTATATTGAATGGGTTGAAACAAATTTAAAATTGCATCTAACATCAAGTGTTTGTACACAAATTAATATGTAAATGAGGTTTAGTTTTCTATTTATTTGGATGAAATATGTTATGTTGCCAAAAGGATTAATATACTGATACATTGGTTTACAAGTCTTTTTTATAAGGTGTTTCATATTTAGAGAAGTAGATTTTTTTAATGAGGTCTTTCATAAATCATATGATTGGATTTTTCATAGGTTTTTAAGTCAACAACTTAACACTTATGCTAATTGACATGAAATTTTCAAAAATTTTCAAAGCCTACCAAGACTTCTCACCACTTTTGATTGAATTATTGTTTGCGTCAACAATGTTGAAGCAAATCATATTGGCTGACACTAATGTTTATATATATATATATATCACCCCTGTCTCTCATACACATCTATATTTGTATATTGAAGTACGATCACACAGCACAAACTATTGCAGAAAACACATACAATTGCACGAACAACTATACAATCAGATAGAGGCAATTTGGACCGTACGACGATGAGCTTGAAGAGGTTAGCCTCTTTAGGAGGCAGCAAAGCTACCATCGTCGTGCGACTGTATAGAGAAAAAGAAGGAAACGGAAAGTTATACAGAGAGGAAATGGAGAGGTAGCAACTATGGGAGAAGGAGAAAGTGCAGATGTTTCTGGTTTGGGTGAGGAAGAAGAAGAAAATGGTGGCGTTTGTCTGCTGCAACCCTATGTAACCAAAAAGCTAAAACAAAATGCCCAAGACAATAAGCGCCAAAAAAAAAAGACTTTTTACCGTATTTGTTTTCTTTTTTTTTTTTTCTTTTATTTTGTTTTTCTTTTCATTTACTATTTCACAAAAGAAATTTTTTTTTATATTCGCTTTTTATTTTTTTATTAATTAATTATAAATCAAATACATGCCTTCCATGCAGATCTTAAATAAAAGAAAGTAATTACAAAAGAGTAGAGACTATCATGCGGTTCTGTTTTCTTTTATTTCGGTTTTATTTTCTTT